ACATTCACACCTACGGACAATTTAGAATCACCAATTAACCTCAACATGTTTTTGGACCTTGTGGGAGGAAGCCGGAGAACCTGGAGAGAACCCACAGGGAACATGCAACATGCAAACTCCACGCAGAAAGAGTCCGGTGTCCCCACCGGGACGCGAACTGACAACCTTCTTGCTGTGAGGCAACAGTGCTACCAACTGCGCCACCCTGCAGCCCTCTTTAGGATATAATACTGAAAAAAAAACACTGCACCTACAGATAATTGCAAGGGAGTGCAGCCAAATTCAGAGATTTAAACATGAAACAGTCATCCACATCAAGCTGATTACTGTTTTGTTTTTTAAAAGCAGACCTCATCAGATGATATGTCACCTCAGTGTTGCACCAAAACACCAATCTGCTGTATGTGTTCAGCTTGCAGAGAAATATGGAGATATTTTCAGCCTTCGTCTCTTTGGTGGAAGGGTTGTGGTCCTTAATGGCTACAAGTCTTTGAAAGAAGCCCTGGTCCAACAAGGAGAAGACTTCACAGATCGTCCCTCCGTACCGTTGTTCCAGGATATAGTTCAGAATAAAGGTGGGTTTGTTGTAATTTGTTTTAAAAGTTGTTCATTTTGAAACAAACTGTCTACAATTAAATCAGATCTAATACTGTTTTGTGTTTCCAAAAGGTATTGTGATATCTAATGGTAATCCATGGAAGCAGCAGAGGAGATTTGCTCTTCATACACTCAGAAACTTTGGTGTGGGCAAGAAGACTTTGGAGCTGTTCATCCAGGAGGAGTGTCGATATCTCACGGAGGCTTTCGCAGATCACCAAGGTACAAAATCTTACACAGCTTTACAATAATACATTACATTTTTATGTATTAAATAGACTTGTTTTGTAAAACTGACACTGATTTGGGGCTGCAAGGTGGCGCAGTTGGTTAGCACTGTTGCCTTGCAGCAAGAAGGTCGNAAAGTTTCATTGAAATCGGTGAGATGGCATGTGCCACCCCCGCCTGGTCCTATCGTGGATGCACTCTTAAAAGTCAGACCTTCTCAAGCTGTACAAAACTTTGCTATTGGGATTCAGTTCAGCCTTATTATCATCAATCCACACACATTACTTCACAAGGGCACAGCAAAAATCTACGACAACAAAATCAACACCCATGCTGAATGTTAATACAAAATATACATATTGAATGCAGAACATTACAGGTTGTTTGCTTGTGCTCGACCATTTTTATGCTGTGAAAGTCCTGTTTGTTTAACTGAAGTAAAAGGTCTGAGTCATCCTTTTATCTTTGAAGGGCACAGGTACACATGCACACGAAGGTTGGGTTGACGGGGTTATAGAGCATACAGCCACACTTTTACCTCAGTCGTGGAAGCACACGACAAGCGAAGACATGGAGACGGTATTCAGTGTTCTGGGCTTGGACTGGATTGACAGCAGCAGTATTTTAATATTTTTCTGTATTTTTCTGCTGTTGACTGATATTTGGAAGAACAGAATTCCAAGAAACTTTCCCCCCGGACCGTGGGCTCTACCTTTTATTGGTGACCTTCATCGCCTCCAACCTTCAAGAATTCATCTGCAGTTCACTGAGGTATGAGTCCCCACATAATAATGATAAAACCAATAAATATTATTACTACAAAATAGTAAATAGAAAGTCTGATGTCTAAAGAAAGCATCCCTAAGACAATATTTATCTTAATCTTTTTTATTTTTCTTAAAGGAAAGTTACACTGTACACTGCAAGCTGACATAGATAAATATGGATATGAAAAAAGCAATAATTCAGAGTTCCTGTACAGGAAGATTGAATGAGAAACAAATAGTCATTGCTTCATAGAGGTCAAAATAAAATTTCCCTGGGTTCCTTCTTTTTACAAGATTATTATGGATATGTTCACCATCACACATTTAATCACAAAATAGCTGTGAGAATAATAAATAGCATGTTAAGAGAAAAGTTAGCGCCTGCAGTGGTCTCCTGGAAGTCATCTCCAGTGGCTTTAATATCAGCTACATTTTGTGCACCTCCTGCACTAGTTTAAACATTCAGTCGTGTTGCAGCTTGTTTTTTTGCAAGGAGACATTTCTAATCCCCATACATACATCATCCTAATACCTGCAGTCACTTTTCTTTAGGATATCCATCCATCCATTTTCTATACACCGCTTAATCCTCACGAGGGTCGCGGGGGGGCTGGAG